GAGGGAGGGAGGGAGGGAGGGAAGGAAGGAAGGGAGGGAGGGAGGGAAGGAAGGAAGGGGAATAGCAATAGCCTTTAGACTTATATACCGCTTTATAGTGCTTTTACAGCCCACTCTAAGCGGTTTACAGAGTCAGCCTCTTGCCCCTCAACAATCTGGGTCCACATTTTACCGACCTCAGAAGGATGCAAGGCTGAGATTCGATCTGCCAAATTGCAGTGGGAGTAGCTTGCAGAACAGCACTCTAACCACTGCCCCATGGAGGCTCCATAACATCCATCCATGCATCTATTAACTAACGATACGCGGCTAATTCATCTTTAAGGGATCGTCCGCTGAGACTCCCAAGGTCCCTCTCACAGTTCATTGTGTTTGAGCCCAGGTATCCCCTCATCTGTGCTTGTAACCTTCGTGTTTTCCCTGCCCAGGTGTAAAACCTGGGCAGGAAAAGTCTGCTGACTTTCTGCTGCTCTCCTCTGACCGTCCTAGCAATACTGGCGCGGAACAGATTAACCAGGTGGCTTTGGAGCTCTGGCGAGACCGCAGAGACCGCGAGGAGATCCGTCGTCAGGACCTGGAAGCGTCCATTCTGGAGGCCATTTCTAAAGACCCCCAAAGTGAGTATCTTAGCGGCGCGGGGTGGGGTGGGGGAAATGATGGGAAACTTTCAGCGTGACAATGAATGATGTGCCTCAGAGTCGGCTACACCCAGGCAGTGCTGGCATGTTAACTCCCAATAAATCCTTCGGAAGTTTTGGAAGTTTGGCTCGAGACTCGTGATTTAATTGGGGGGTAACTGCCGGAATCCTGACACTCGTCCCTCTTCACATCTCTTTCAGACGGATTCTGGAGATCCGGGGTCCACGAGCAAAACCTGATTGACGCCTTTGTGCCTTTCCTCCCGCTGCGACGGCACCACGTGAAGCAGTGCGTGGTCAACGAGATGGCCAGCCGGGGTCTCCTCCCTCTCCCGGAGGTCGTGGACGGCGTGGCCGACAACTTTTCCTACTTCCCCGACGAGGAAAAAATATTCTCGGCCACTGGATGCAAAACGGTGTCTTCCCGCATGTCGTTTTTCCTATGACCCCCACCCACCCACCCTCTTGGCAGGCGTTTTCGGTCCAGAATGGACTTTTAACTTTCTTTTAACGGAAGAAAACCCCTTGTTGTGTCTTGAAAAAGTCAGCTGAAGGACTTAAGGACGGGCCTTTCGAAAAAGCATGCTGGCTTGATCAAACATTTTCCTCCCCTTAAAAATGACCTGGAATCGATTTCATTTTTGAACTCAAAAAGAGAAGGTTGTGTGATCCATGATGTGGAGAATCTTGTCGGGTTTTAAAACAGGGTTTCTCGGATGTTTTACAGGTTTAGCGCCGTTGAATTAATCCGTTTTTCTGCGGATTTTTAAAATCCTACCTCTCAAGTCAAGGATTATTCTGTGATTTCTTCTGTTTTTTAAAAAAATCCAATAAGGTGGGATGACCCGGGGCGTGGCACCAAAGCAACCAAGTCACAAAAGTAGGTAAAGCCCCATTAATTCCTCCAACTTGGCCCCCCAATGTCCAGTTATCATCAGCTGGAGAAAAAAAAAAACCCAAGAAGAGTTTTTAAATGGAAGAAATTCAGTCCGAACCCAAAGTACATATAAATTATAAACAAAAAACAACACAAACCATACTGCAGCAATTAATAAGACAGGGCAGGATAAGGGATTGAAGACATCAAAAGATAACGAAACGCACACACTTGAGAGGACGCCAGAACTCAGATAAGACTTGACAAACCAGAATAATTTCACGCTTTGCTTCCAGCAACTTTGCCATGCACAGTTTGCCCTTTGAAACAGCCTTCCCAGCTGCAGCCAATGAAGGGGATCAGGGCCCTTTCCTCCCCCGTAAACCATGCAACTCACATTGCTCCCTTAACCGTTCCTCCCTGTGTGCCCTAGGATGAAGCGGGGCGGGCCTGGGTCTTCCTCTGAATGCCCAGCCGGACTGTGCCCTCCCCCAGTTTCCTCCACAGCCACTGAAGCCACACTCCCACTCCCTGTCAGCTGTTCCACCTCTCCCTTGGAATCAGATTTCAACAGGGGCATGACATAAGGTGTATATTTTACTATTCTAATTCAGGGATGGGGTAGGGCATTTTCCCAAGGAATTTCTCTGTGGTGTTAACCCGAACTTGATCGACTGAGATGCAGGTTCTTGCTAAAAGGTCACAGCTACTTTTAAAAGATTTTACATCAACAAGGAGATACCCTGTTTTTCTCGGAGGTTTCAAGAACGCACCAGCCCCCCAAAAATCTCTCTTCTCTTTCTTTTTTTCTATCCCTTTTGGTGCCGAGAACAGAACGCCAACCTGAAGAGTTAAAAGAGTCGGAATAATATATTGAAATCCACTCTGTGCGAGTGCTGCTTAGTTTTAAAAGGCAGGGAAGATGAGAAGTATGTTTGTGTTTTACTTTTTTTTTAATCGCGGGAATATATATGGTGGCTGAGCGAAACTAATGCCATCGCGAGACGTGCTGGCCAGCTTCGAATCCATGGCCCACAAAAATTTGGGACCCTCTCTAGAGAAACATAGGAGGGCAGGTCTCAGAACAGAGCTGCGTGCAGAAAAATATCAACGGCCCCCTTTCATTCGGGTTTAGTGCTGATGTCATGCCCCTGTCAGAGTCTGAATCTGAGGAGGAAGACAAACGGCTGACAGGGAGCGGGAGTGTGGCTCTGTTGGCTGTGGAGGAAACTGGGGACTGGGCAGAGCAGGGGAGAGGTAGAACGAGGGAGAGGGAGTTCAGAGGAAGACCCAGGCCCACCCCCTCTTCATCCTAGGGCACGCAGGGAGGAACAGAGAAGGGAGCAACGTGGGTTGCATGGCTTATGGGGGAGGAAAGGGCCCTGATTTCCTTCATTAGGCACAACTGGGAATGAGAGTTTAAAAGAAATGCATGCTAAGTGGGGCAGCTGCTGGGAACAAACGTGAGTTTATCTTGTGTTGACTTTGCTCAGGTCTTCCCAACCGGGTTGAATTATGGCCATTCCTTCCCGTCTGGAATTCTTGCTCCTCCCCTGTCAGACTAATTACCTCATTTTGCCTTGATTGGACTTATATAGTTTTTATTGGCCACGTTTTGGACTTGATTCTCTGCAGCCAAAGGCTGTTCCTGGGAGAGTTTTTCTCCAGCCAAAAGGTAACCAGGACTTTGGGGAAAAAGTTGGAGCTAATAAAGGGACTCCTACTGATTATCTGTGTTGCCTTTGTGCCACGCCCCTTTGGGGTCATCACAGCGGATCTGAACATACAATAAATGTGAAAAACTTGGACGTACCTTAGGGTCTTCCAAAGGTTGCTTTATTTAAATAAAAAAGCAGGAAAGGCACAACTTTATAGAGCAAATCTTTTCCAACGTCTAGAACAAAATGGAACAGAAGTAAGTTGGCTTCCCGCTTGCCGTTTTCCGATACTTTGAGCAATTATTAGGGGGAAAGATTTATTCTGGTGCCAACCGCTTCGTCCCACTGGGTAGCCTTTTCCCTGGGGGGTGGGAGGGGCTGCCACATGTCACTCAGGGCCCCGAAGGGAAAGAGGGATGGCATCCCCTCCACCCTTTCCAAGATTTTGGGGTCTCGGTTACAGAAACGAAGCCTCTTAGCCGAGCAAAACCTGGCCATCCTAAATCTTTTTAACTTTGTGTGGTTTTGAGCGGGCAAGCTATTTGGCAGGAGAAATCTGGTTTGTTCGACCCACTTGAAATTCAGGATATTTTGGGGAGAAAAACCAAGGTTTACCATCTCAAGGCGATGCTTCGGACAGGCCTAAAAGTGACCGACGCCTTCTTAGAATTTCCTCCAGCAGTACGGTTCCTTGGGGCAATCCTTGGGAGGCGGACGGGCGCAGGCGTCTACCCAGACAGTTTTGGATTCCAGAGCTGGCTTATTTTGACGCGCTTCCTTCAGCTCCTCGTTTGCCTGCCAAGACACACACGGGACAATTTGCTGCAGGCCAAACGGACACTCCTACCCACCTACCACGCTGGGTCCCTAATGTCATTTTCAACCTCACTTAAATGGCGGTGATAGCAACAGCACTAACACTTAAGACCAGGGGGGTCTTCCAACTGGACCGCTTTAAGACTTGTGGACTTCAACTCCCAGAATTCCTCCTCCAGTCATGTTAGCTCAAGGAATTCTGGGAGTCGAAATCCACGAGTCTTAAACTTGCCGAGTTTGAAGGCCTTAGACTTAAACACTGCTTCAGGGCTCTACAGCCCTCTCTCTAAGCGGTTTACGGAGTCAGCCTCTTGCCCCCAACAACCTGGGTCCTCATTTACCCACCTCAGAAGGACGGAAGGCTGAGCCAACCTTGAGTCGGTCAGGATCGAACTGCTGGCAGAATTAGCCTGCAATATTACATTCTGACCACTGCGCCACCACAGCTCATATGTTAGCTTCTTGGCTTTTGAACTGCGCAGGGGTGGGACCTCACAGCCTCCAGGTAGACTTAAACTCCACTGGCTACCCTTTCTTCTCGGACTCGTAGGGTTGAAAGGGACCTCGGAGGTCATCTAGTCCAACCCCTTGCCGAGACAGGCGGCCTTATACCAATCCCGGACAAAAAATTTTTCCAAAGGGGAGGAAAGTTAATCTTTTGTGATGTTTTCGGCTACAAAAGAGCTGGATAAAAGAGCAAATCCAGGGTTGTTTTTTAGCTGGATCGGTCACCCACTGCAACCCATTAATGGTTTTCTGAGAGCTATGAAAAGCCCCAGAGTCAACCTACAGCCTCCCCTTATGGGGGAGATGGGCGGCATAAATTTTTAATAAGTAAAGAAATAAAATGTCTTGTTTTCCTTCCAAGTAGCGGAGATACCTGGTGTGAGTTTTGCTGACATTCAGCCAGTCTTTTTTGCAGCTTTTTTTCTTCAGAACCTTCTTCCTTCTCCTCGCCCTTCTGGTCCTCGATTTGAATGTACATGTTGGTTGAGGGTTCGGATCCTGTGGATTTCAGAGGCCTGGGAGAAGGTGGAAAAGCAGAGAGAGAGAGAGAAGGAGAAGGAGAGAGAAACAGGGAAGAACAAGAGAGGGGAGAGAGAACAAGAGAAAGAAAGAGAGGAGACACCGAAAGAAAGAGGAGAGGAAAAAATAAGAGAGAGGAAAAAGAGGGGAGTGAATAAGAGAGGACAGAATGAGAGAGAGAGGAGAGAGAACAGGAAAGAGGAAAGAATGAGAGAGGAGAGAGAATAAGAGGGGAGAGAAAGAGACAGAACAAGAGCGAGAACAAGAGAGGGGAGAGAAAGAGGAAAAAAGAGAAAGGAGAGAATGAGAGGAGAGAGAGAATAAGGGGAGAGAGAAAATAAAGGACAGAAAGAGAATGGGAGAAAGAATGAGAGATGAGAGAATAAGAGAGAGGGGAGAAAGAATGAGAGAGGAAAAAAGGAGAGAATAAGAGAAGATAAACAGGAAAGAAAAGGGAAAGATGAGGAGAGAGAATAAGGGGAAAGAGAGAGGAGACAGAATAAGAGAGAATGAGAGAAGAGAGAATAAGAGAAGGGAGAGAAAGGAAAGAAAAGAGAGGAGAGAGAATGAGAAGAGAGAGAATAAGGGGAGAGAGAAAATGAAAGAGAAGACAAGGACAGAAAGGAGAGAACAAGAGAGATGAGAGAGAATAAAAGAGAGGGGAGAAAGAATGAGAGAGAGGAAAAAAGAAATGAGAGAATAAGAGAGAAGAGAGAGGAAAAAAAGAGAGAGGAAAAAAAGAGAAAGAGATGAGGAGAGAGAATAAGGGGAAAGAAAATGAAAGAGGAGCCAGAACGAGAGAAAGGAGTGAGAATAAGAGAGTGGAGAAAGAGGAGACAGGATGAGAGAGAAAGAAGAGAGAACAGAGAGAATGAGACAGAGAGAGAGAGAGAGAGGAAGCTTCTGGGAGCACGTTGAAATTTATCCTCATTTTCTATCGATTGGTGTTCTTGATTGGGCCGGTCTTAATTCAAGGACGGTGGTGCTTTAAAAGGACTGCAAGGCGCCTACGGGGGACCGAGGCTGGGCTCAAGCGCAGGGGGATCTCTGCAGACTACAATCCCCACCTGCTCTGGCGGGGTTGCAGAGTTGACTGGCCCAAAGGCAGGGAAGAGATCAGCCTCCCAGCTGACCGAGAAGTTTCCCAGAGGACGACAGAGGAGGGGGGAAATGGGATTGGTGGAGGGAAAGCCCCAAAACGTGTCTGGGCCTCCACGGAAAATACTATTAAATCTCCCCGCGGCTTCGATTCGATACCTCTGCAGGGGAAAGATTTCAGCTTTCCCGCCAGGGAAAGATTTCAGCTTTCGATCCAGGAGAGTTTTGGTCAAATCTCCAACTTTGCTGTTGAGGAGAGATTCTTTGTTCTCTCCGGGAAACAGGTTGCCCATCAAGGTCCGGACCTGGAATTTAAAAAAAAAAAAAATAATAAAATCGGTTAACATTTTTTAAAATGAAAAAAACACACCCTATACTCAAAATGGAGGAGCTTCTATTGCACCCAGGGAGGTGTCCCTACAAATTTCGGGTGTGGTGCTTTTTTTTTTCTCCCTCTGGTCAGTGTTTATTGCTCTCATCTGCTTTGAAGTGTTGGGACTTCAACTCCCAGAAAGCTTAAGATGAGTGGACTTCAACTCCCAGAATTCCCCAGCACGATTGAAGATGGGTGGACTTCAACTCCCAGAATTCCCCAGCATGATTGAAGATGGGTGGACTTCAACTCCCAGAAGCCTTAAGATGGGTGGACTTCTAGGTGTGGTTTTACTAATTCTTTATAGCAGGGGTCCCCAACCACCGGGCCGTGGACCGGTACCGGTCCGTGGAACATTTTCTACTGGGCCACCGGTTTGCTGGGCACCGCCATCTTGTTTCGATGAGAAAGTGCTTCCGGGTGA